GATTCTGCCAGCTTGCTAGAGAGGCAGCTCGAGGGCAGAAAAGCTGCTGGGCTTTCTTCAAGCAGCAAGTGTGTTTTCTGCTGAGCATCCAAAACCAAGATCCCAGCCAAGACCCACAGTTGCCCAGATCCACCCACCCTGAGCGGAACTTGGGCAGTAATGTCCAGCCCTGGGCAGTTGCTGAAATCTTTTGCCTTTTTTTTTCTTTTTTTTTTGAGTTAGGATCTTGTTCTGTCACCCAGACTAGAGTGGAGTGGAGTGTTCTGTCACCCAGACTAGAGTGGAGTGGAGTGGAGTGGAGTGGCATAGTCACAGCTCCGTGTAGCCTTGGACTCCCAGGCTCTAGCAATTCTCCCACCTCAGTCTCCCAAGTAGCTGGACTACAGGCACACGCCACCATGGCTAACATTTTCTGTTTTGGTTTTTTTTTTGAGACGAAGTTTCCCTCTTGTTACCCAGGCTGGAGTGCAATGACACGATCTCGGCTCACTGCAACCTCCGCCTCCTGGGTTCAGGCAATTCTCCTGCCTCAGCCTCCCAAGTAGCTGGGATTACAGGCACACGCCACTATGCCCAGCTAATTTTTTTTTTTTTTTTTTTTTGTATTTTTAGTAGAGATGGGGTTTCACCATGTTGACCAGGATGGTCTCGATCTCTTGACCTCATGATCCACCCGCCTTGGCCTCCCAAAGTGCTGGATTACAAGCTTGAGCCACCGCGCCCAGCCACATTTTCTATTTTTTGCAGAGATGGGGTCTCACTTTGTTGCCCAGGCTGGTCTAGAAATCCTGGGCTTGGCCAGGTACGGTGGCTCACGCCTGTAATCCCAGCACTTTGGGAGGCTGAGGCGGGTGAATCACAAGGTCAGTGGTTCGAGACCAGCCTGGCCAATATGGTGAAACCCTGTGTCTAATAAAAACACAAAAATTAGCCAGGCATGGTGGTGGGCACCTGTAGTACCAGGTACTTGGGGGCTGAGGCAGGAGAATTGCTTGAACCCGGGAGGCATAGGTTGCAGTGAGCTGAGATCATGCCACTGCACTCAGCCTGGGTGACAGTGAGACTCCATCTAAAAAAAAAAAAAAAAAAGAAATCCCAGGCTTAAGGGATCCTTCTGCCTTGGCCTCCCTAAGTGCTGGGGTTGCTGGCATCAGCCACCACGCCTGGCTTTTTTTTTTTTTTTTTTTTGAGACAGGCCCTTGCACCGGTGCTCAGGCTGGTGTATAGTAGTGGGATTAGAGTTCACTGCAGCCTCAACCTCCCAAGCTTAAGCGATCCTCCCACCTCAGCCTCCCTGAATGAGTGAGGCCACAGGTGTGAACCAGCACACGCAGTTAATGTTTTAAGTTTTTCATAGAGATGGGGTTTCTCCATGACACCCAGGCTGGTCTTGAATTCCTGGCTTCCAGAGATCCTCCTGGCTCTGCCTCCCACAGTGCTGGGATTACAGACATAAACTACTGCACGCAACCTTTCTTCACTTTCTTAACAAAAGCTTTGGATGAACAAAAATTCATATTTTTGGTGAAGTTCAGTTTATCGATTTCCATTTATACATTTCATAAAGTTTATAAATTTTAACCTTTTTTTTTTTTTTTTTTTGAGATGGAGTCTCGCTCTGTCGCCCAGGCTGAAGTGCCGTGGCGCCATCCCAGCTCACTGCAACCTCCACCTCCTGAGTTCAAGTGATTCTCCTGCCTCAGCCTCCCGAGTAGCTGGGATTACAGGCACCACCACACCTGGCTAACTTTTGTATTTTTAGTAGAGACAGGGTTTCACCATGTTGGTCAGGCTGGTCTCCAACTCCTGATCTCGTGATCTGCCTGCCTCGGCCTCCCAAAGTGCTGGGATTACAGGTATGAGCCACTGCGCCTGGCATAAATTTTAACTTATACAAAGCTCAATTTTATCTTTCATTCTGTAGCTTTTTTAATGTATTCTCTTTAAGGAGTCTTTCCTCCGAGTTGTGAAGGTATTCACCTATGTCTTCTAGAAGCTTGGTTGATAAATAGCTTTCACATTTTTGATATCATCAATTTCGAGTCAGTTGCATGTTAGGATGAGGGTGGGGATGGAGGTTCATACATTCAGCTAACCCAGCATCCTTTGTTGCTAGACCATCATCCCTGCTCCCTCCCTGAACCGCAGGGGAGAGTGTGTTTCATAGGTAAAGTGTGGATCTGCTTCTAACCCTCTCCATTCTGCTGATTTATTGGACAGACTTAGTGCTAGTACCTCACTCTCTTGATTTGTGTTAGCTTTATGGAAACTTCTGATATCTAGACTGGGCGCGGTGGCTCACGCCTGTAATCCCAGCACTTTGGGAGGCCGAGGCGGGCGGATCACGAGGTCAGGAGATCGAGACCATCCTGGCCAACATGGTGAAACCCCATCTCTGCTAAATACAAAAAATAAGCTGAGTATGGTGGTGTGTTCCTGCAGTCCCAGCTACTTGAGAGACTGAGGCAGGGGAATTACTTGAACCTGAGAGGCAGAGATGGCAGTGAGCTAAGATTGCGCCACTGCACTCCAGCCTGGGCAACAGAGCGACATTCTGTCTCAAAAAAAAGAATAAAAATGTCCCGGGTGTGCTGGTGGTGGGCGCCTGTAGTCCCAGCTACTCTGGAGGCTGAGGCAGGAGAATCACTTGAACCGGGGAGGCAGAGGTTGCATTGAGCTGAGATTGTGCTGTTGCATTCCAACCTGGGGGACAGAGAGTCAGTCTAAAAAAAAAAAAGAAAATTTTGCTATTTAGTAGTTAACTTTTCCAGCTTTATCGCCTGTTTTTATAGGTTACTTGCATTTCTATGTACATTTTATTTTTTAGACACGGGGTCTCACTGTGTTGCCCAGGCTGTAGTGCAGTGGTTATACACAGGTGTGATCATAACTCACTGCAGCCTCAAACTCCTGGGCTCAGGCATTCCTCCTGCCCCAACCTCTAGAGTAGGTGGGACTGTAGGTGCATGCCACCACACTGGCTAATTTTTAAATTTTTAGTAGAGTCTAGGCTTTGCTGTGTTGCCCAGACTGGTGTCCAATTCCTAGGCTCAAGTGATCCGCCTATCTTATCCTCCCAAAGTGCTGGGATTTCAGGCATGAGATGCTATTATGTGCAAGGGTTCTGAATCTTTTTTTTTTTTTGAGACGGAGTTTCACTCTTGTTACCCAGGCTGGTGTGCAATGGCGCGATCTCGGCTCACCACAACCTCCGCCTCCTGGGTTCAGGCAATTCTCCTGCCTCAGCCTCCCGAGTAGCTGGGATTACAGGCACGTGCCACCATGCACAGCTAATTTTTTGTATTTTTAGTAGAGACGGGGTTTCACCATGTTGACCAGGATGGTCTCGATCTCTTGACCTCGTGATCCACCCGCCTCAGCCTCCCAAAGTGCTGGGATTACAGGCGTGAGCCACCGCTCCCGGCCTAATGTTTTTTTTTTTTTTTTTAAGATAGAGTCTCAGTCTGTCAACCAGGCTGGAGTGCAATGGTGCCATCTTGGCTCACTGCAACCTCCGCCTCCCAGGTTCGTGTGATTCTCTTGACTCAGCCTCCTGAGTTTCTGGGATTAAGGTCCCTGCCACAGCTGGCTAATTTTTTGTATTTTTAGTAGAGATAGGGTTTCACCATGTTGGTCAGGCTGGTCTCAAACTTCTGACCTCATGATCTGCCCTCCTCAGCCTCCCAAAGTGCTGTGATGACAGACATGAGCCCCCGAGCCTGGCCTGAATCTATTTATTTTTTATTTTTTTAATTAAAAAAAAATTTTTTTTAATTGAGATGGTGTTTCACCATGTTGGTCAAACTGGTCTCTAACTCCTGACCTCAGGTAATCCACCCGCCTCGGCCTCCCAAAGTGGGCCTGAATCTATTTTTATGAGAGACGTTGGCCTCCAGTTCTCTTTGTTGTAGTGCCCTTTGTCGTCAAGATTATGCTGACCTCATAAAATGTGTTGGGAGAAGTACTTGGCGAGGCTGAGGTGGGCGGATCATGAGCTCAGGAGTTCAAGACCAGCCTGGCCAACAAGGTGAAACCACATCTCTATTAAAAATACAAAAATTAGCCGGGCATGGTGGCACATACCTGTAATCCCAGCTACTCGGGAGGCTGAGGCAGGAGAATTGCTTGAACTGGGATCCTGGGAGGTGGAGGTTGCAGTGAGCTGAGATCGCACCACTGCTCTCCAGCCTGGGCTACAGAGAGACTGTCTCAAAAAAAAAAAAAATGTGTTGAGAGTGTTTCTCCTATTTTACTCCCTGAAAGAGTTTGCATTGGCATGGAATCATTTCTTCATCAATTGTTTGGAAGAATTCATTAATTGATGTCTTCTGGACCTGGAATTTTAGTTTTCGAAAAGTTTGAAACTGTGGATTAAACATTTTAGTTATAGGACTACTGACATTTTTAATTTCTTCTTGTGTCAGTTTAGAAGGTTGTATTTCTCAGGAATGTGTTTATTCTAAATTTTCAAATGTGTTGGTGTGGAATTTTTCGTAATTATCCTCTTACTGTCATTTTTTTCCCCCGAGACGAGGTCTTGCTCTGTCACCCAGGCTGGAGTGCAGTGGCGCGATCTCGGCTCACTGCAACCTCTACCTCCCTGTTCAAGCGATTCTCCTGCCTCAGCCTCCCGAGTAGCTGGGACTACAGGCACGCGGCTAATTTTTCTATTTTAGTAGGGTCGGGGTCTCGCCATGTTGGCCAAGCTGGTGTGGAACTCTTGACCTCAGGTGATCCACTCACTGCAGCCTCCAAGAGTGCTGGGATTATAGGCGTGAGCCACCATGTCCAGCCCAGGGAGGTGACATGTTGAGGAGACACCTGCAGGGTGGATAGGTTGAGTCTCTTTCACCTGGGAAGCGCCTCCCCCTTTACCACCGTATTCTCCGGGGTTAGCGCAGTGCAAACATGGAGGCCTCTTTGAGTCCCTGTCTAGCCCTGGCTCTGGGGGTGGCGGGCTCGGGGCTGGGGGCTTAGACCTGTCTCCCTGGTTCCTGCAGAGCCGCCCTCCATGCGCCTGAAGGCCCGACCCGGCAGCCCTGGCTTTTCCGTGCTCACTTGCAGTGCCTTCTCCTTCTACCCCCCGGAGCTGCAACTTCGGTTCCAGCGGAATGGGCTGGCTGCTGGCACCGGCGAGGGCGACTTCGGCCCCAATGGTGACGGCTCCTTCCACGCCTGGTCGTCACTGACAGTCAAAAGTGGCGACGAGCACCACTACTGCTGCATCGTGCAGCACGCGGGCCTCGCGCAGCCCCTCAGGGTGGAGCTGGGTGAGGCTCTGCCCCACCGGTCCTTCCTGAGTCTTGACCTTTTTCCCTGCTGTTCCTGCCTCATTGAATCTGACCGGCTTGTGCCTCACGCCTGCCAGTGTCCCCAAAGCCTGATGGCTTGTCCACCCCAAGGCCGACTGCCTTCTGTCCTGCCGCTTCTGGCCTCACTGAGTCTGAAGAGCTGTTAACCACCATGGCCAGTCCCCCCTGAGTCTGACCATCTTCTGTCCTGCTGCTGCTGCTGCTGCGGGTCTTCGTGGAATCTGACCATCTGTTGTCTGCTATGCCCTTCCTCACCAAGACTGACCGCCTGCTGCCTTGCTACTGCCAATGCCCATGAGGCTGACCTCCCACTGCTCTGCCTGCCCCTCGCGTCTGCACCCGGACAGCCCCGCCCTGCTGCTGCCGCTCCACTGCCGGTGTTGCCGTGGCTGGTACTCGTGTCCAGCCTGGGGCACTCTGCCCAGATCGCCCGCCTGGCCTTTCTCCTGTGCATCAGACACTTGGCGCTGGGATTTCTGAGGCGGGGAGGAACTGGGAGCCCCCAGTTCCGTGTCCTGACTGGGTGGGGTGGAGGGGCTGCCCTTCGTCTCACCGTGTTCTCTGGCTGCAGAATCTCCAGCCAAGTCCTCTGTGCTTGTTGTGGGAATCGTCGTCGGCGTCTTGCTGCTGACAGCAGTGGCTGTGGGAGGAGCTCTGTTGTGGCGAAGGATGCAGAGTGGGTTGCCAGGTATGGGCAGCCTCGGTGAGAAAGACAGAGACCCCGAGAGAGGGACCCACAGACCTGGAAGGACAGAGACTCAGTGTGGAGGATAAACCCAAAGAGAGTGGGACAGAGACCCAAAGAGGGGGACAGAGGCCCAAAGAGAGCAGGACAGGGGCCGGGTGCAGTGGCTCATGCTTGTAATCCCAGTACCTTGGGAGGCTGAGGTGGGCAGATCACGAGGTCAGGAGATCGAGACCATCCTATCTAACCTGGTGAAATCCCATCTACTAAAAATACAAAAAATTAGCCAGGCGTGGTGGCGGATGCCTGTAGTCCCAGCTACTTAGGAGGCTAAGGCAGGAGAATCCCTGGAATCCAGGAGGCGGAGGTTGCAGTGAGCCAAGACTTCACCGCTGCACTCCAGCCTGGGTGACAGAGTGCAACTCCATCTCAAGAAGCAAAAAAGGGGGGACAGAGGCCCAAAGGGGGACAGAAACCCAGAGAGGGCAGCAAAGATGTAGAAAGCGGGGACAGAGAATTGGAAGAAGAGGAGACAAAGACCCAGAAGGAAGGGGACAGAGAACCAGAGAAAGGAGGACAGAGACTGAGGGAGAGTGTGTGACACAGATGGGGCAGGCCAGACCCAGAGCGCCTCAGAGATTCTGATGATCTCCCCCTCTCTCTCCTCAGCCCCTTGGATCTCCCTCCGTGGAGACGACGCCGGGGCCCTCCTGCCCACCCCGGGGGAGGCCCAGGATGCTGACTGGAAGGATGCAAATTCGGCCCCAGCCACTGCCTGAGCATCCACCTTCTGACTGCTAACAGCCAGTGCAGTCAGGCTCCTTTCATGCCGTGAGACGTCCTGGAACACTGGCATCTCTGAGTCCCCAGGAGGAGTCCTGGGCCCCGTTGTCTTCCCTCTGGAGCCCTGTCCTGTGGTCTGCCTCAGTTTCCCCTCCTAATACATATGGCTGTTTTCCACTTCGACAATATAACATGAGTTTAGGCCTGAATCAGCGTGTTCTCATCATTTTTCAGGCAGGGGAGGTAAGGGAATGAGCAGGGACTGAATGGCTGGGCCTCAGAGCTCTCCTGCTGGTAACATGCCACCACGAGGAACCTGCCGGATTTATACATCAGGTCATGTATTTTCTTTTTTTTTTGTTTTTGAGACAGAGTCTTGCTCTGTTGCCCAGGCTGGCATGCAGTGGTGTGATCTCCATTCATTGCAACCTCTGCCTCTTGGGTTCAAGCGATTCTCCTGCCTCAGCCTCCCGAGTAGCTGGGATTACAGGCATGCGTCACCACACCGGCTAATTTTTTGTATTTCGTAGAGACAAGATTTCACCATGTTAGGCTGGTTTTGAACTCCTAACCTCAAATGATATGCTCGCCTTGGCCTCTCAAAGTGCTGGGATTACAGGCATTGAGCTACTGCACCCGGCCCAAGGCCATGTATTTTTTATTTTATTTTATTTATTTTTGAGACAAAGTCTCCCTCTTGGCCCCCAGGCTGGAGTACAGTGGTGCAATCTTGGCTCACTGCAACCTTTGCCTTGTGGGTTCAAGCCATTCTCCTGCCTCAGCCTTTCGAGGAGCTGGGATTACAGGGGCCCGCCACCACGCCCGGCTTATTTTTGTATTTTTAGTAGAGATGGGGTTTCACCATGTTGGCCAGGCTGGTCTCGAACTGCTGACCTCGTGATCCACCCACCTCGGCCTCCCAAAGGCTGGGATTACAGGCGTGAGCCACTGCTCTCGTCCGGCCATGTATTCTCAATTCATAAATTTTACACATATTTACTGGATGACTGCCGTGCCAGGCATTTTGAGTAATTATCGGCTAGTATCTGACCACCTGAATCCTTGGAGCAGAAGAGGAGTGAGGAGCACACTGTTCCCTCTTGGAGGAAATGGGATGTTTCCCCTGGCCCCTTGATTCGACTCTTCCTTTTTTTTTCTTTTTCTTTTTCGTTTTCTTTTCTTTCTTTTTTTTTTTTTTTTTTTTTTTTTGGTATGAAACCGTTGGAACGTACAGCTCTTTCTTAAATCATCCTGACAAAGGGAAAGAGGGAAAAATACATTTCCCGTGAAGGCTTTGGGGCTAGAGCAGCTGGAGGTGGACGGCAGAGTGCCGCGACGCCTGCCGGGGGTTGTAGTTCTCCCCGGCCGCGTCACTGCGGCGTCGCCCACCCACCTTCCAGGGTCAGGCCGCGCTTTCCTTTGTGGACGTGGCGAGGGGCGCCCACGGCCCTCCCTGCGCTCACTGGCCCCGCCCCGTGGGCGTTCGTGCAAGCTCATTGGTTGGGGGGCGGGGCTCTGCCCTGTCAGAGGCGGGGCCTGACTGGAGAGCGGCTGAATTGGGCATATTTGCGGGAACGCAAAGCGGAGCGTGCAGAGCGTAGCGAAGCTGGATAACGGGGTAAAGGGAGCGGGTAGGGGGCGTCTGTCCAGGGAGGGCGGCTTGGGGCGGCTTGGGTAGAGGATCAGGGTAAGGACTGGGAGCAATCACGGGGAGCCTGCCTGACCTCTTGCTGGCCACAACCATGCCCTGCGCTTTGCGTGGGATGTGGGCCACCTCTCTCCCTGAAATTCCCCCTCGCAGGCCTGGGACCCCCCTGAGCCTCTGTCAGGAGGTTCGGTCCTCCTCATAGGTGGCTTTCCCTCTGAGCACCCCGCCCTCCTTTCCCCCATCGCCCGCCCTTCTTGAGCCCAAAAGTTTGCAGCCAGCTTCCATCTCCGGGTCTTGTCCTTGGTAACCCCTCCACCCTGCCATCCTCCTGCCCCGTGCCTGTCCTCGTCCCTGTAACCCCTCACCCCTGACCCCTGACCTCTGCCACTCCCCAGGGACCAATGATGTGGCGACCATCGCTTTTGCTGCTTCTGTTGCTACTGAGGCACAGGGTGCAGGGGAAGCCGTCCCCTGACGCAGGCCCTCATGGCCAGGGGAGGGTGCACCAGGCGGCCCCCCTGAGCGACGCCCCCCATGATGACGCCCACGGGAACTTCCAGTACGACCATGAGGCTTTCCTGGGACGGGAAGTGGCCAAGGAATTCGACCAACTCACCCCAGAGGAAAGCCAGGCCCGTCTCGGGTAGGAGAGACATGGGGGGGTGGGGCGTGTTCAGAGGTGGGGCTTGGGAGGGAGGCGCAGGGGAATTGACAGGGGTCAGAGAAATGGCGGGGACTGCAGTCAGTTCTTTATGAGAAATCAAAGTCTATCTTCTCTCCCTGGGAAAAACAATTTAAGTTAAAATTTACGCCTGAAGGGCCAGGTGAGGTGGCTCTCGCCTGTAATCCCAGCACTTTGGGAGGCAGAGGCGGGCAGATCACCTGCGGATGGGAGTTTGAGATCAGCCTGACCAATATGGAGAAACCCCATATCTACTAAAAAAAATACAAAATTAGCTGGGCATGGTGGCGCATGCCTGTAATCCCAGCTATTTGGGAGGCTGAGGCAGGAGAATCGCTTGAACCCAAGAGGCAGAGGTCACAGTGAACCGAGGTTGCGCCATTGCACTCCAGCCTGGGCAACAAGAGTGAAACTCCATCTCAAAAAAAAAAAAGAGACCTTTGAGGGCAGCAAAATCTAGGTTTAGATTCTGCCCCTAAGCACTCCTTATTGCTTTGTCCAGACATCTCCCCTCCCCTCTCCTGCTCTGTAAATGGCAGGGACTGGTGTGGAAAATGAGGTTTGGCATGTAAGGAGCCTGGCCAGTGTAGGAAAGTGGCAGAGCTGTGAGTTTCAGGGTGACCTGGCTAGAATGGAACCTTGTCCACCCTCTCTGTCAGGGTGGGAGGGTCAGGGCCTGAGGGCGGGGGGTGGGAAGGGCGGTAGGAGAGCTCCCTTCATCTATGCATCCCCCATTGCTCATTCAGCCCACAAAGCTTTATTGAGTGCCCGCTATGTACCAGGCACTGCTGAAGGTGCGGAAGTCACAACAGCTGACAACAGACAGAAATCTCTGTCCTCCTGAAGTTTACACTGTGGTGAGGAAAGCAGCAGGAAGGCAGTGAGCAGAAAGTGGATCAAATGAAGGTAAATAAAGCAAGAGAGTCAGAAAGTGTGGAGGGAAGAGATTATTGGTGGGGGAGTTGCAATTTGATTTATTCATTTATTGAGACAAATTCTCGCCCTGTTGCCCAGGCAGGAGTGCAGTGATGCAATCTTGGCTTGGTGCAACCTCTGCCTCCCTGGTTCAAGCAATTCTTCTGCCTCAGACTCCCTTGTAGCTAGGATTGCAGGTGCATGCCACGACACCCAGCTAATTTTCTTTTTCTTTTTCTTTCTTTCTTTCTTTCTTTTTTTTTTTTTTGAGATGAAGTCTCACTCTGTCGTCGCCTGGGCTGGAGTGCAGTGGCATGATCTCAACTCACTGCAAGCTCTGCCTCCGGGGTTCAAGCAATTCTTCTGCCTCAGCCTCCCAAGTACCTGGGACTACAGGCACATGCCACCACGCCTGGCTAATTGTTTTTATTTTTAGTTGAGACAGGGTTTCATTGTGTTGCCCAGGCTGGTCTCGAACTTCTGAGCTCAGGCAGACATCTCGCCTCAGCCTCTCAAAGTGCGAGGATTACAGGAGTGAGCCACTGTACCTGGCCCATGGCCAGCTAATTTTTGTATTTTTAGTAGAGATGGGGTTTCACCATGTTGGCCAGGCAGGTCACAAACTCCTGACCTCAAGTGATCTGCCAGCCTCTGCCTCCCAAAGTGCTGCAATTATAGGCATGAGCCACCTCGCCCAGCCGGAGCTGCAATTTTGAACAGGGAAGCTGGAGAAGGCCTCCATGAAAAGGTGGTATTTGGTCGTTGAGCCATGTGGGTTTCTGAGGGATAGCAATCCAAGCAGACAGAACAGTTCAGTGCAAAGGCCCTGAGGCAGGAGTGAGCTTGGAGTGTCTGAGTGACAGTTCTGAGGCCCGTGTGGCTGGAGCTCAGTGAGAAAAGGGAGACAGTAGGAGGTGAAGGCAGAGAGGGAGCAAAAGGGTTGAGCGTGGTGGTTCATGACTGTAATCCCAGAACTTTGGGAGGCCAAGGCTGGAGGATCGCTTGAGCCCAGGAGTTTAAGACCAGCCTGGGCAACACAGTGAGACCCTGTCTCTAAAAAAAAGAATTTAAAAATACAAAAATTAGCCCTACATGGTGGCATGCACCTGTAGTCCCAGATACTAGGGAGGCTGAGGTGGGAGGATCACTTGGGCCTGCAGTGAGCCAAGATCATGCCACTGCACTTCAGCCTGAGTGACAGAGTCACACCTTGTCTCAAAAAGAGAAAGAAGAGACAGAGAGAGAGAGAGACAGCATGCAAAGGGGGTCAGATCATGCAATGCAAAACCTTTTAGGCCACAGTGAAGATTTAGGCTTTTCTCCGATTGAGAGGAGAGCCACTGAAGAATGTGAGCTGACTTAGGTTTTGAGAGAATCCTGCTGGCTGCAGGGTGGGGAACTGTACGGAACAAGAAGCAGGGAGCCCAGTGAGAAAGTGACTGCAATAGTCCAGGGGGAGGCAAGACAAGGTGACGGCCAGATCAGCGCGGAGACACTGGCAGTGGGCCCCAGGACTGTTGGCTGGGAGATTGTGCTGGGATGGGCATGGGGGAAGGAGGGATGGAGAAGGAAGGGCAGTGATAGGTTAGCACAGTTAGCTTAGCACTAATGGCAACGCCGGGCATTGTACTAAGTGCTTTATTATTATTATTATTATTATTATTATTTTGAGACAGGGTCTTACTCTGTTACCCACGGTGGAGCGCAGTGGCTCGATCTCGGCTCACTGCAATCTCCGCCTCCCAGGTTTAAGCAATTCTTCTGCCTCAGCATGTCTAGTAGCTGGGATTAGAGGCACCCACCACTGTGCCCAGCTAATTTTTATATTTTTAGAAGAGACTGGGTTTCACCATGTTGGCCAGGCTGCTCTTGAACTCCTGACCTCAGGTGATCCGCCCGCCTTGGCCTCCCAAAGTGCTGGGATTATACGCGTGGATTACAATCCACAATGCCTGGCCCCAGCCTATTATTATTATTATTTATTTATTTATTTTTTTTTTTTGAGACGGAGTTTCGCTTTTGTTACCCAGGCTGGAGTGCAGTGGCACTATCTCAGCTGACTGCAACCTCTGCCACCCGGATTCAAGGAATTCTCCCGCCTCAGCCTCCCGAGTAACTGGGATTTCAGGTGCACACCACCACACCCAGCTAATTTTTGTATTTTTAGTAGAGACGGGTGTCACCTTGTTGGCCAGGCTGGTCTGAAACGCCTGATCTCAAGTGATCTGCCCATCTCAGCTTCCCAAAGTGCTGGGATTACAGGCACGAGCCACTGCACCCGGCCTGTCCTAAATGCTTTCGCAGCCTGACTCATTTATTCCCCACAACCGCCCTTTTGGGGTAGGTATGATTATTTTCTCTGCATTTTACAGAGGGGTAACAGGCACAGAGAGGTTAAGTCACTTGCCCGCAGTCACATAGCCAGGAAGAAAAAGTGGTCAGATTTGGACCTAAAATGTTTGGCTGTGAAACCCACGCTCTTAGCAGCAGGAACCTCAGAGAAGGGTGTGAGTCCAGGAACAGAGTCGGCCCCTGAAAGACCCGAGCAGAGACCGCCTGGTGCGGGAGTGGGGATGGTGACTCAAGCAGGGCTGGAGAAGGCTCTGCTGTCTCGGATTTTCAAATTTAGGGAGGGGGCCCTGGGAGCCTGAGGACGGTGACAGGGAGGAGGGCTCCATATGGTCTCTTTTAATTAGAGATTGGGCCTGGCAGGGCGCCACCAAGGGAGGAGAGAGGGGCCAGGGAGCTGACAGGCGTTGCCCAAGAGAAGGGGCGACATGGAACCTAAAGTGCCTTGACAAGCCAAGGGGAGGGGCACTGAAGCCCGGCGGATCATGGAGAGGGGTAGAGGGAGACCCAGTTGGGGGTGATGGTCCTCGGGCAGTGCCTGACTCGGCCAGGAGCAGGTGGGGGAAAGCCACAGTGCGTGGCACATGGCAAAGCTGGAGGGAGAGGAGCCTGAAATTGACACGCGCATTCCCGGTAAGGGGGCGGGGCATGGGGCGGGGCGGGGCATGGGGCGGGGTCGGCCCTGAGTTGGCGGGGTGTGGCCGTGGCTGTGGAGTGCAGTGGCGCGATCTCGGCTCACTGCGACCTCCGCCTCCCAGGTTCAAGCGATTCTCCTGCCTCAGCCTCCTAAGTAGCTGGGATTACAGGCGCCTGCCACCACGTTCAGCTAATTTTTTTTTTTTTTTTTGTATTTTTAGTAAAGACGGGGTTTCACTATTTTAGTCAGGCTGGTCTCAAACTCCTGACCTCGTGATCCGCCCGCTTTGGCCTCCAAAAGTGCTGGGATTACAGGCGTGAGCCTCCGCGCCCGGCCCAGAGTCAGTCTTGGAATAGGGCTCCCTGGCAAGAGGCGCAGTGCGACGCCGCTCTCCCTGTCCCCACCCCAGCTCAGCCTAGCGAGAGGTGCGGCGCGTGCAGGCAGAGGGCGGGGCCGGCGCGGAGAGGGTGACCCTTGATCGTCGTAGGTTCCTTCCCTGCAGTGCTCCCGGCTGGCCCGCTGGTTCTCGGGAAGGGCATGACTCGTCCCGGGGTTGGACTCTAGGCTAAGGGAAGGGGTCCTGCGGTGGGCTTGGTCCCGAATTGACACGCGCGCCTCCCCATTCGTCCGCGGACCGTGGACTGCATTTTCAGCCCCAGACCAGATGTGCCCTGGGGGCGGGACCCCGTGTGAGGGGGGGGGACTGGGGGCGGGGCCAGGGACTGACAAGTGCCCGCCCCCGCTCGCAGGAGGATCGTGGACCGCATGGACCGCGCGGGGGACGGCGACGGCTGGGTGTCGCTGGCCGAGCTTCGCTCGTGGATCGCGCACACGCAGCAGCGGCACATACGGGACTCGGTGAGCGCGGCCTGGGACACGTACGACACGGACCGCGACGGGCGTGTGGGTTGGGAGGAGCTGCGCAACGCCACCTATGGCCACTACGCGCCCGGTACGCGGCGAGCCCCCGACCCTGCACCCCACACACCGTGACCCTGACCTTCTGGACCGCCTCGTTCTGAGAACCCTGAATCCATTTACCCAGAGTCCCTGGCCCCTGACTAGGCTCTACCCACTTACGGCCCCATCGCTCTCAGTTCCCCAGCCTCTCACTTCAGGCTTCTCTTTGTTGTGCCTATTTGTTCGTTTTTCTGGTATTTAGCTGCATGCTAAAAATGACTTTTTTTTTTTTTTTTTTTTTTTGAGACGGAGTTTCGCTCTTGTTGCCCAGGCTGGAGTGCAATGGCGCGATCTCGGCTCACTGCAACCTCCGCCTCCTGGGTTCAGGCAATTCTCCTGCCTCAGCCTCCTGAGTAGCTGGGATTACAGGCACGCGCCACCGTGCCCAGCTAATTTTTTTTTTTTTTTTTTTTTTGCATTTTTAGTAGAGACAGGGTTTCACCAGGTTGACCAGGATGGTCTCGATCTCTTGACCTCGTGATCCACCCGCCTCCGCCTCCCAAAGTGCTGGGATTACAGGCTTGAGCCACCGCGCTCGGCCAAAAATGATTTTTTTTCAAACATGAAGTCAGAATTAGGTGCTAAAAGCCCCTGAACACACCCAAACAGGGACTTGAACCCTGGACCCTCAGATTAAAAGTCCAAAGTTCTACCAACTGAGCTACCCAGGTTCCCTTCAGGATTTTTAATTCTGGGACCCACCGCCTCTATGACACCATGACTAGGGGACTAATGCCTAGTCATCCTGACCCCTGACCTCTGTGACCTCTCATCCTGAGACCCCCAAAGCCAGTTACCCTGCCCCTGACTCTCAGATCCCTCCTTTCTGTCCCAAGCCCAGCCCCAGTGCCTCCCTGCCCCACACGTAGCCCTTATTCTCTCCCTCCTCTCCTCTCCGTCTCTGTCACCAGCCTCCCCGTCCAGCCTGTCCTCCACAGGGCTCCAGGGGGTGGTCGTCACACCCAGCACTGACTTTGCCCCTGCCTGGCTCATGGCTCTCCCTGGCCCCCCAGGAGACGGTCCCACTCCTCAGCCAGGATGTCTCCACCTGCAGCTTTGTTTTTCTGCATTTTCTGCACCAAATGGATGCTTCTGAACCCACCACACTCCTCTTCACATGGGCCTCTGATGACAATGCCCTTCCCCTCCTCTCTGTCAAACCATCTGAGCCCCTGTTATCACAGCGGCCGTCTGGAGCCAAATGGGCTGCTGTCATCTCAGAGGCCACCATTGGATCACTTATTTCTTCTCTCTGAAAATCAGCTCTTGCATTCAGAAAGTAGAATAAACGGGCCGGGTGCGGTGGCTCACGCCTGTAATCCCAGCACTTTGGGAGGCCGAGGCAGGCAGATCACAAGGTCAGGAGATAGAGACCATCCTGGTTTAACACAGTGAAACCCTGTCTCTACAGAAAATACAAAAAATTAGCTGGGCGTGGTGGCACATGCCTGTAGTCCCCGCTACTTGGGAGGCTGAGGCAGGAGAATTGCTTGAACCCAAGAGGCGGAGGTTGCAGTGAGCCGAGATTGCGCCACTCCACTCCAGCCTGGGCGACAGAGTGAGACACCCTCTCAAAAAAACAAAGTACAGTAAGTGGAAAAACCCACTGTATGTGATTTTTGTGACGATTAAATGAAATATCGTATATAAAGAGCTTAGCATATAGAATCTCGCACAAGTTAGCTAATTTATTGTGTGGATATCGTGTTATATAGCCCAGGTGCAATAGCTTACTCCTGTAATCCAGAATCTTGGGAGGCTGAGGCAGGTGGATCACTTGAACTCAGGAGGCAGAAGTTGCAGTGAGCTGAGATCATGCCACCGCACTCCAGCCTGGGCCACAGAGGGAGAAAAATAAAATAATATAATGTTATCTAATGTATTATACATTACATACTTATATAATAAATAAATATATATATACAAATTATATATATATATATATCGATACATACTTTTTTTTTTTTTTTTTTGAGACAGAGTTTCACTTTTGTTACCCAGGCTGGAGTGCAATGCCGTGATCTCAGCTCACCGCAACCTCCGCCTCCTGGGTTCAAGCAATTCTCCTGCCTCAGCCTCCTGAGTAGCTGGGACTACAGGCACGCACCACCATGCCCAGCTAATTTTTTGTATTTTTAGTAGAGACGGGGTTTCACCATGTTGGTCAGGCTGGTCTCGATCTCTAGACCTCATGATCTGCCCGCCTCAGCCTCCCAAAGTGCTGGGATTACAGGCGTGAGCTGCCGCGCCCAGCCTATTGATATATACTTATTAACTCCACAGAAGTCTTTGTGCCCCAAGTAGGATTTGCTTTGTCCTTGTTTTAACCTGTGCTTCCTCATTTAAAGTTCATCTCACTGAGACCTGTCCTTCCCCAGGTGAAGAATTTCACGACTTGGAGGATGCAGAGACCTACAAGAAGATGCTGGCTCGGGACGAGCGGCGTTTCCGGGTGGCGGATCAGGATGGGGACTCGATGGCCACTCGGGAGGAGCTGACGGCTTTCCTGCACCCCGAGGAGTTCCCTCACATGCGGGACATTGTGATTGCTGTGAGTGGCGGCTGGGGGACCCTGCCCCCCACACCCTTCCAGGGACTCAGGCTTCCCATCCCAGGACCTACTTCCCGGCGCCAACCTGGGGGCAGGTAGTCACCCAGCTGTCCTGCATCTTCCTAGGCCACAAACGCAGGTCAGGGGAGGGTGACCTTTCCCACCTCTACTCCCAGATGCCTGGGGTCTGATCTCTCCTCGTCAGGCCTCCCCATCCCTGTGCTTGCATTTGGGGTCCAGGCCCCCAGCCTTCCCTCAGACAGGCACATCCACATTCCCAGAAGTTCCTCAGGAACCCCAACCCAGGCGGAGCCCCAGGAAATCCTCAGCCCCCCACGTGGTTCCTCATCTTCTTCTCTTTTTTGTGAGATAGAGTTTCGCTCTTACTGCCTAGGCTGGAGTACAGTGGCCTAATCTCAGCTCAGCGCAACTGTGGCCTCCCAGATTCAAGCAATTCTTCTGCCTCAACTCTGCCTCAGTCTCCTGAGTGGCTGGGACTACAGGTGTGCATCACCACACCCGGCTAATTTTTGTAGTTTTAGTAGAGACGGGTTTTCTCCGTGATGGCCAAGGTGGTTTCAAACTGCTAACCTCGAGATCCACCCACCTCAGCCCCCCAAAATGCTGGAATTACAGGTGTGAGCCACCATGCTTGACCTATTCCTTCATAATTTTTTTTTTTTTTTGCCAAAATGTGCTTTGTTCTTTTCTATTCTTTTTTGAGATGGCGTTTTGCTCTTGACACCCAGGCTGGAGTGCAATCTCAGCTCACTGCAACGTCCATCTCCCAGGTTCAAGCAGTTCTTCTGCCTCAATCTCCCATGAACTGGGATTACAGGCATGTACCACCACACCTGGCTAATTTTGTTTTTTGTTTTGTTTTGTTTTTGAGACAGAGTTTCACTCTGTCACCCAGGCTGGAGTGCAGTGGCATGATCTCGGCTCACTGCAACCTCCCCCTCCTGGGTTCAAGCAGTTCTGCCTCTGCCTCCTGAGTAGCTGGGATTACAGGTGCGTCACCATGCCTGGCTAATTTTTTTTTTGCATTTTTATAGAGATTGGGTTTCACCACGTTGGCTAGGCTGGTCTTGAACCCCTGACCTCAGGTGATCCATCCACCTCAGCCTCCCAAAGTACTAGGATTACGAGTGTGAGCCACCACGCCTGGCAATTTTGTATTTTTTTTTTTTTTTTTTTAGTAGAGAAGGGGTTTCACCATATTGACCAGGTTAGTCTTGAACTCCTGACCTGAGGCATTCTGCCCACCTCAGCCTTCCAAAGGGCTGGGATTACAGGCGTGAGCCACTGTGCCTGGCTCCAAAATGTGCTTTGTTCTATAGAATAAGACTTTTTTTTCTTTCTTTCTTTCTTTTTTTTTTTTTTTTTTTTTTTTTTTTTCTTTTAAGACAGGGCCTCACTCTGTCACCCAGGCTCTAGGGCAGTGGCCCGATCTTGGCTCACTGCAACCTCAAACTCCTGGGCTCAAGCGATCCTCTCACTTCAGCCTCCCGAGAAGCTGGGACCACCAGGCACAAGCCACCATGTCTGGCTAGTTTTTAAGTTTTGTGTAGAGACAGGGTCTCAGCATGTTGCCCGGGCTAGTCTTGAAATCCTGGACTGCAGCAACCCTCCTGCTTCAGCCCCCAAAGTGCTGGGATTAGGGGCGTGAGACCCGCAGTCTTACAGTGAATGAGTTTGGACTTAAAGGGGGGAACAAAAGTTGTTTTGCTAAAGAAAGGCATAAAAAACAAGGAAGAGAGGTGTCAGAAGAACCCTCAAAGTCCACCATGTTCACACATAAAGCAGAGGTGGGCGCCGGGCGCAGTGGCTCACACCTGTAATCCCAGCACTTTGGGAGGCCGAGGCAGGTGGATCACATGAGGTCAGGAGTTTGAGACCAGCCTGGGCAACATAGTGAAACCCCGTCTCAACTAAAAAATACAAAAGTTAGCTGGGCACTTGACAGGTGCCTGTAATTAATCCCAGCTACTCGGGAGGCTGAGGCAGGAGAATTGCTTGAACCCAGGAGGCAGTTGCAGTGAGCCGAGATTGTGCTTGCACTCCAGCCTGGGCGACAGAGTAAGAGTCCATCTCAAAAAAATAAAAAGGCGGGGCGAGGTGGCTCATACCTGCAATCCCAGCACTTGGCCTTGGGAGGCCGAGGTGGGTGGATCACAAGGTCAAGATATCGAGATCATCCTGGCCAACATGGAGAAACCCCGTCTCAACTAAAAATACAAAAATTAGCCAAGCATCTTGGCTTGCACCTGTAGTCCCAGCTACTGGGGAGGCTGAGGCAGGAGAATCGTTTGAACCCGGGAGGTGGAGGTTGCAGTAAGCCGAGATCATGCCACTGCACTCCAGCCTGGGTTACAGAGCGAGAGTCTGTCTCAAAAATAAAATACAATAATAAAAAGAAACAAAGAAAGAAAGAGAGAGAAAGCAAGCAAGCAAGCAGAGGTGAATCTGCTAAATGTGAAGGAGCTTTTCCCCTTTAAGGGGGTTTGCTGGGGCTTAAGTTTTTAGGGACCCAGATCAGCTCTCCTTGTGTGCGACACACCTGTGCATCGCTGGACACTGGGGCCCCCGGGCTCTGGCCCCCGGGATGTAAGTAGTGCCTGTATCATCGTAACATCCCCGAAAGTCCCCAGATTTCCCACATGCTGCCTGTGGAGTCTGCTCTACTGCCTGCCCGCCACAGCTGACTGGAGCTAGATTTCCAAGAAAACCTCACCCTCTTACCCCAGGGGTCCAGTCTTCTCCAGGGGCAAGGGACATCGGCCCTCGGCCTCAATGCCTCTCCCTTCCCAGGAAACCCTGGAGGACCTGGACAGAAACAAAGATGGCTATGTCCAGGTGGAAGAGTACATCGGTGAGTGTGCCCCTGTTTCCTCCCGGGGCGCCTCTCCTCACTCGGGCAGGGCAGGGTTGGTGGGGGCAGCCAGATGTACATCACCCATCAGAGAGCATGGCCCTCAGACATGGGGGCAGGGGCGCTGCTTGAGTTCATGCAGCCACCCAACATTTATTGAGCACCTACTGTGTGCCAGGCCCAGGAAACACTTATTGAGCACCTACTGCATACGGGCTACAGTTAAATTACAGCAGGGTGGAGGCTACAGCAGATAATAACACAGAAAACGTCCCTTCTTGGGGGTCTGGAGTTTTTTTGGAGTTTCGCTCTTGTCACCCAGGCTGGAGTGCAGTGGCGCAATATCTCTGCTCACTGCAACCACCGTCTCCCAGGTTCAAGTGATTCTTCTGCCTCAGCCTCCGGAGTGACTGGGATTACAGGCATGCACCACCACACCCAGCTAATTTTGTATTTTTAGTAGAGAGGGGGTTTCTCCATGTTGGTCAGGCTGGTCTCGAACTCCCGACCTCAGGTGATCCACCCGCCTCGGCCTCCCAAAGTGCTGGGATTACAGGTATGAGCCACCGCGCCCTGCTGGGGTTCTGGAAATCTACAGAATCAAGGCTCAGGGACTGTGTTGAGTATAGGTGGGGGGTCGGGAGGCTGGTCTTGAAGCTGCGTCTGCACAGCGAACACTTTGCTTGCTGTTACATGGGATGTTGGGGGAACCCACACAAGACCCCCAAGTTCTCCCTGGGTCCCTGCCACTGTCCCTGCCCCTAGGGGGCAAAAAACTTAGTTAAGGAGAAGGCAAACAAGGAATTTTTGCTTATTTGTTTGTTTGTTTGAGGCGGAGTCTTGCTCTGTCACCCAGGCTGGAGTGCAGTGGTGTGATCTTGGCTCACTGCAACCTCCACCTCTTGGGCTCAAACGATTCTCCTGCCTCAGCCTCCTGAGTAGCTGGGATTACAGGTGCCCACCACCACGCCTAGCTAATTTTTGTATTTTTAGTGGAGACGGGATTTCACCATGTTGGCCAGGGTGGTCTGGAACTCCCAACCTCAGGTGATCTGCCCATCTTGGCCTCTCAGAGTGCTGGGATTACCGGCATGAGCCACCATTTCCAGCCAACAATTTTCTCTTCTTAAGAGATGGGGTCTTGGCCCGGTGTGGTGGCTCAGGCTTGTAATCCCAGCAGTTTGGAAGGCCAAGGCGGGCGGATCATGAGGTCAGGAGTTTGAGAACAGCCTGGCCAGTATGGTGAAACCCCGTCTCTACTATTAATACAAAAATTAGCCAAGCATGGTGGTGCACACCTGTAGTACCAGCTACTCGGGAGGCCGAGGCAGAAGAATCACTTGAACTTGGGAGGTGGAGGTTGCAGTGAGCGGAGATCTCACCACTGCACTCCAGCCTGGGCAATAAGAGTGAAAATGTCTTAAAAAAAAAAAAGGAGAGAGAGAGAGAAAGAAAGAAAGAAGGAAGAAATTGATCAATCATTCAATCAACCAATCAAATGAATTTCGCCTGTAACAAATGATTGCTTTTTTAAGTCAGGTGTTGTTACTAATTCCATTGAAACAGGAGACAGCTGAGGCGAGGGAGAGGGTCCTGAGTTGCTCCAGGGCCTGGGTCAGGAAGTATCAGAGCCGGGATGGGCCCCCAGCTCCACTAGACTCCCAGAGCTGCGCCTGACCTTGCGCTCTCTGTCTCGGTCCCAGCGGATCTGTACACAGCCGAGCCCGGGGAGGAGGAGCCGGCGTGGGTGCAGACAGAGAGGCAGCAGTTCCGGGACTTCCGGGATCTGAACAAGGACGGCCACCTGGACGGGAATGAGGTGGGCTACTGGGTCCTGCCCCCTGCCCAGGACCAGCCCCTGGTGGAAGCCAACCACCTGCTGCACGAGAGCGACACAGACAAGGTGCAGTGACGGGGCCTGGAGGAGCGGGTGGGCAGCGAGGACAGCGCCCAGAAATGAGCGGGACCTGGGCCTGCAGCTGGGTGTCCCTGTTAGGTGGGATAAAAAAAGAGGGACAGTCAGGGCAAGGTGGCTCACACCTGTAATCCTAGCACTTTGGGAGGCTGAGGCGGGCAGATCACCTGAGGTCGGGAGTTCTGGAATTCTACAGAATCAAGGCTCAGGGACTGTGTTGAGTATAGGTGGGGGGTCGGGAGGCTGGTCTTGAAGCTGCGTCTGCACAGCGAACACTTTGCTTGCTGTTACATGGGATGTTGGGGAACCCACACAAGACCCCCAAGTTCTCCCTGGGTCCCTGCCACTGTCCCTGCCCCTAGGGGGCAAAAAACTTAAGGAGAAGGCAAACAAGGAATTTTTATTTGTTTGTTTGTTTGAGACGGAGTCTTGCTCTGTTGCCCAGGCTGGAGTGCAGCCCAGCCTGTCGCCGAGACCAGCCTGACCAACGGGGAGAATCCTGTCTCTATAAAAAATACAAAATTAGCCAGGTCTGGTGGCACATGCCTGTAATCCCAGCTATTCGGGAGGCAGTGGCAGGAGAATTGCTTGCACCTGGGAGGTGGAGGTTGCGGTGAGCCGAGATGGCACCATTACACTTCAGTCTCGGTGACAAAGTGAGACTTTGCCTCAAAAAAAAAAAAAAAAAAAAAAAAAGGGAGACACAGACACAGAGGAAAAGAGAGAAGACAGAGACTCGGGGGGTGGACAGAGACCCAGAGAGAGAGGGACAGAGACCCAGAGAGAGAGGGGGACAGAGACCCAGAGAGAGAGGGACAGAGACCCAGAGAGAGAGAGAGGGGGACAGACCCAGAGAGAAGGGTCCCAGGGACATGGGGACACACTTGGCTGCAGGGAGGGCTTTTGCAAGCAGGGCGTGTTGTCCCCTCTGAGCTGTGGCCCTCCCTCCAGGACGGGCGGCTGAGCAAAGCGGAGATCCTGGGCAACTGGAACATGTTTGTGGGCAGCCAGGCCACCAACTACGGCGAGGACCTGACCCGGCACCATGACGAGCTGTGAGCCCCATGTGCCCGCTATAGCCTTGCGGGGCACGCAGTGACCTTAGCAGGGGCTGCCGTGGTCCAGCCCCTCCTTGTCCAGGCCCCGCAGGAGGCAGATGCAGTCCCTGGCGTTCCCTGCCTTTGGGCTCTCATGGACCCCCTGGGTGGCCTTCTGTCCCCGTGACACCCCCAGCCCCAGAAGGGGCCCTCACCATCCCAGAGGATAAGTGACACGTATTTCTGACTGGCTGTCTCCCAGCCCAGACCCAGGGACCCTGGCCCCAAGCTCAGCCCCTGAGAACCTCCACCAACCCCTCCGGCTCCCAATCTGAGCCACCACAACAGACTGAGAAACTCCACGCCCTGCCCTCTCCTGCCTGGCCCTGGGCACCTCCTCTCTGCCAGGAGCCAATAAAAGGCAGCGGCGGGACCTTTCGTGTCTGTCTGTGTCTGTCTGTCTCTGTGAAGGGGAGAGGGGCCCCGGAGATGGTTTGGGGGCTGAGGCACACAGTTGGGGACCAGGCATTTGAAGGAGGCGTGCTGGGTACTGGCAGGGTTGGAGGGCATTCCTAGGTATAAAAAAGAAAACATGGCTGGGTGCGGTGGCTCACACCTGTAATCCCAGCACTCTGGGAGCCCGAGGCGGGCGGATCATGAGATCAGGAGTTTGAGACCAGTCTGGTCAACATAGTGAAACCCCATTTCTACTAAAAATATAAAAGATTAGCCGGATGCAGTGGCGGGCACCTGTAATCCCAGCTGCTCTCCTGCTACTGAGGCAGGAGAATCACTTCAACCCAGGAGGCAGAGGTTGCAGTGAGCTGAGATTGTGCCACTGCACTCCAGCCTGGGCGACAGAGCAAGACTGTCTCAAAACAAAACAAAAAACAAATTGGGCCGGGCGCGGTGGCTCACACCTGTAATCCCAGCACTTTGGGAGGCTGAGGTGGGTGGATTACAAGGTCAGGAGTTCAAGACCAGCCTGGCCAAATGGTGAAACCCCGTCTCTACTAAAAATATAAAAATTAGCCAGGCATGGTGGCGCATGCCTATAATCCCAGCTACTCCGGAGGCCAAGGCAGGAGAATCACTTGAACCCAGGAGGCGGAGGTTGTAGTGAGCTGAGATGGCGCCACTGTACTCCAGCCTGGGTGACAGAGCAAGACTGTCTCAAACAAAAAGAAAAGAAGCCTGGAGTCTTCAGCACACACACCAGACAGGAAGCCCTGCCCTCTCAGAGCTCCAGTTCTGTAGGGAAGAAGGGACACAGCGACCTAAAATATGGCATGGAGTGACAGATGCTGTGAAACAGGGAGATGGGTAGCTGTGTGGCAGTATTCTGATGACTGAGTGGCCAGGAAAGGTCTTGGTGGTAAATGGAGTGAAGGAGGGAGCCATGGAGAGTTCTGGAGGGAGAGCATTCCAGAGAGAGAGAAGAGTAAGTAAAACGGCCCTGAGGCAGGAGTGGGCCTGATGTGGCAGCATCAGCAAGGAGGCTAGGGTGGCTGGAAGGGAATGAGCCACGGGAAGAGGGTTGGAACTGAAAGAAGATGAGGCATGGGTTCAGACTGTGCAGGCCCCTGCAGGCAGGTCATGGTGGTCGCTGTTTGGTGGGACAAGAAAGAGATGGACAGAGACCTGGAGAGCAGGGGATGGGGACTCAGAGAGGAACAGAGACCTAGAGAGAGGGGGACAGAGACCCAGAGTGACAGGGAGACAGAGACCCAGAGAGAGGGAGATAGATCAGAAAGAGAAGAGGACAGAGACAGAGTATTTGAGTTCACGCTTGTGATCCTAGCACTGTGGGAGACCGATGGCTGGCTGAGTCCAGGGCCGGCCTGGGCTGATCTTTTACAGAGACCACATCTTTATTTAAAAAAATAATTTGGGGGCTGGGCGTGGTAGTTCACGCCTGTAATCCAAGCACTTTGGAGGCCAAGGCGGGTGGGAGTTCAAGACCAGCCTGACCAACATGGTGAAACCCCGTCTTTAAAAAAAAAAAAAAAATTCATGAATAATTTTTAAAAAGGAAATTCAAGAACAGGCAAAACTAACCTGGGTATTAGAACTCATATTTAGTAGATTTTTTTCCCTTCTTGGGAAAAGAGTTAGACATAACCCAGGGTTAGACTGTAAACCTATAGACAGTTTGGAGAAATGACATCTTCATAATAGTGAGTTTACCAATCTATGAACATGGTATACCTCCACATTGCTTGAAGTCTTTTAATGATCTCATCAATGTTTTGTAGTTTTCAGTGTAAAGGTCTTATTTGTTGTTAAATTAATCCCTAAGTATCTTGGGGTTTTTTTCTGCTATAGAAAATGAAAACGCTTTTTAACTTCATATTTCAAGTTTTTGCTTCCATTATATAATATAGGATTATTCTGGGGCAGGGCGCGGTGGCTCAAGCCTGTAATCCCAGCACTTTGGGAGGCTGAGGCTGGTGGATCACAAGGTCAAGAGATCGAGACCATCCAGGTCAACATGGTGAAACCCCATCTCTACTAAAAATACAAAAAATCAGCTGGGCATGGTGGCGTGTGCCTGTAATCCCAGCTACTCAGGAGGCTGAGGCAGGAGAATTGCCTGAACCCGGGAGGCGGAGGTTGCGGTGAGCCGAGATTGTGCCATTGCACTCCAGCCTGGGTAACAAGAGCGAAACTCTGTCTCAAAAAAAAAAAAAAAGAAAGAAAGGATTATTCTGATATTAATATGCTGTGAATTTGCCAAATGTACTTTCTAGTTCTGGAATTTCCATGCTGTTCCTTTTTTTTATTTATTTTTATTTTTATTTGAGACGAAGTCTCACTCTGTCACCCAGGCTGGAGTGCAGTGGCACAATCTTGGCTCACTGCAACCTCCGCCTCCCAGGTTCAGGCAATTCTCCTGCCTCAGCCTCCTGAGTAGCTGGGATTACAGGTGTGTGCCACCACGCCCCTCTAATTTTTGTATTTTTAGTAGAGACGAGATTTCACCATGTTGGACAGGGTGGTCTCGAACTCCTGACCTCATGATCCACCCGCCTCAGCCTCCCAAAGTGCTGGGATTGCAGGCTTGAGCCGTTGTGCCTGACCAATAGCTATTTATGTATTTATTTTATTTCTTTTTATTTATTTATTTATTTATTTATTTTTGGCCAATGAGAGCTTGTAAGGTTGCTCAGGTTGGCCTTGAACTCATGGCCTCACCTCTGCAAGCGCCACGACATGTGGCCGGAGCCACTGCGGACCCCAGTATTTATTTTATTTCTAATAGCTATTTTTAAAACCTTCTGATTCTAACATGGGTCATTTCCAGTCTCAGTTGATTATATTTTCACTTGAGAATGGGTCATAGTTTCTGTTTTCTTGTTCTGTGTTTTCCTATATTGGGTAAATCAGGTTGTGTAGTTGGAACTCTGGAATCTGTTTTGTCCCTCTGGAGAATATTGAATTTTATTCTTCCTAAGCAATCCCGTGTGTGTGTGTGTGTGTGTGTATGTGTGTATGTGTGTATATGTGTATGTGTGTATGTGTGTGTATGTGTGTGTATGTGTGTATGTGTATGTGTGTATGTGTATGTGTGTATGTGTGTGTATGTGTGTATGTGTATGTGTGTATGTGTGTATGTGTATGTGTATGTGTGTGTATGTGTATGTATGTGTGTGTATGTGTGTGTATGTATGTGTATGTGTGTATGTGTGTATGTGTATGTGTATGTGTGTATGTGTATGTGTGTATGTGTATGTGTATGAGTGTGTGTATGTGTATGTATGTGTGTATGTGTATGTGTATGTGTGTATGTGTGTATGTGTATGTGTATGCGTGTATGTGTATGTGTGTGTATGTGTGTGTATGTGTGTATGTGTATGTGTGTATGTGTGTATGTGTGTGTATGTGTATGTGTGTATGTGTATGTGTATGTGTGTATGTGTATGTGTGTATGTGTGTGTATGTGTGTGTATGTGTATGTGTGTATGTGTGTGTATGTGTGCATATGTATGTGTATGTGTATGTGTGTGTGTATGTATGTGTGTGTGTGGTCTAAAATAAATTCTTCTAATTGCACGCACATTTGTGTCTTGTGTTAACTGTGGAGTGAGAAACCTCCTCCTCACTTGCAAGCCCAGCTATCTGCATACAATCTAGTGTTGTGGTCTAGCTGTTGACGAGGGGCCGAGGTCATGCAGGGCTGGCCCCTGAGTGCAGCGACATCTTAGGGCAGGGAGCTCAGACCTTGGTTGTACTTGAACTGCTTCAGGACCTCGCTGAATCCCTCACACAGGGACAGGTCACTCTGAGTGGTGGAACAGTCCAGGAACTGCCTGATCTCATAGGCGCAGGGCCCCATCTGCAGGGGCTGGGAGGCAGCATGGGTGGGAGCCTGCTGGTCGGCAGGCTGGGCCAGCTCCGAGCTCCCCCCCGCTGAAGGCTCCGGTCAGGGCGCTGCCCATGACGTGTCCCACAGCCCAGCCCACGGCTAACCCTGCGGCCGTGGATGCCATCTGAGCCATGAGGCCCGGCAGGCCCGAAGGGGCGGGAGCCGGGGCTGCTGCCGAGGGCGGTGGGTGCGCGGGCGGCTGCACTGCGGCTTCCCCGAGGCGTGGTGGGCGGTGGGACCCGGGTGATCTAGAGACGGCGGCGGCGCAGCGGTTCTGTCCCTAAGCAATCCTTTGACTTGGCTGCACTCTACCTGAACTCTGTCTCCCCTGTGAGACTTGTCGCTCAAATCTCAGTTCACTTCTCTTTTTTGGGGGGGGTGTGGGGGGTTCAGCTGGGCTTTTTGGTGTGTACCATGCAGTCAGATGTGGTTCAGAGTCAGCTAGACAGTTGAGCAGAGTTTATATAAACCGTTCGGGGTACCCCCTCTCCATCTTCTCTTTTCCAGGATGTATCACCTATCTTTTGCTGTAATTCCTCAAGCTAGGAAGACTGGATTTTCCTCTGCTGGGTTGTTTCTTTGTTTTTTTATAGAGACAGGGTTTCTCCATTTTGGTCAGGCTGGTCTTGAACTCCTGACCACAGGTGATCTGCCCGCCTCGGCCTCCCAGAGTGCTGGGATTACAGGCATGAGCCACCGCGCCCAGCTGTTTTCTATTTTTTCCAGAGTTTATAACTGTTATCTGTGTGAAAGGGCTGGAATTTGAATCCAAGTGCGCTTGGCTACAAGCTTTTTAGTATGATGACATTCTGCCCCCTAGTGGTTGGACGTGGAAAACTGGTTTGTGTGGGAGGAAGGGCATACTGGCAAATCTCTGAGGGCTGCACGTTGGAAAACATTGTTCATCGAAAACAATACCCACACATAGCCACAAACAATACCCACACATAGCCACAAATTACTTGCACAGAACAGCTTTATGGTGAAAAACTGCCCAGAACCTTGTCACAGTGCCTATCTCCAGAATTTTTTTGCTTTTAAAATATTCTTGCACATTTTATTTAGAAATATTGGCCACACACTCAAAGGATAGAAAACCCTAAATATACAGGATGCTATAAGCTAAAAACGCCTTCCACCAAGTTCGCCTCTTCACAGACAGCCAGTGTTTCCTGCCAGGGAGAATCTACAGATTTAAGCAAATATGTACAAATTATTTTTCTTTCTTCTTTTTTTTTAGACAGAGTCTCACTCTGTTGCCCAGGCTGGAGTGCAGTGGCGCGATCTCGGCTCACTGCAACCTCTGCTTCCTGAGTTCAAGCGATTCTCCCACCTCAGCCTCCTGAGTAGCTGGGATTACAGGCACGCGCCACCATGCCCAGCTAATTTTTGTATTTGCACTAGAGACGGGTTTCGCCATGTTGGCCAGGCTGGTCTCAAACTCCTGATCTCAGGTGATCCGCCCACCTTGGCCTCCCAGAGTGCTGGGATTACAGGCGTGAGCCACTGCGCCCAGCTGTTTTTCTTCTTTTTAATGGGAATAAGAGCAGGTGACAATGTTTTTATGTTTCTTGTTTCTCTCAACAGTATTCTTTTTATTTATTTATTTATTTATTTATTTATATTTTTTTGAGACGGAGTTTCGCTCTTGTTACCCAGGCTGGAGTGCAATGGCGCGATCTCGGCTCACCGCAACCTCCGCCTCCTGGGTTCAAGCAATTCTCCTGCCTCAGCCTCCCGAGTAGCTGGGACTACAGGCGCGTGCCACCATGCCCAGCTAATTTTTGTATTTTCAGTAGAGACGGGGTTTCACCTTGTTGGCCAGGATGGTCTCGATCTCTTGACCTCGTGATGCACCCGCCTCGGCCTCCCAAAGTGCTGGGATTACAGGTGGGAGCCACCGCGCCCGGCCTACTTTTTGTATTTTTAATAGAGATGGGGTTTCACCATGTTGTCCAGACTGATCTCAAACTCCTGGAATCAAGCGATCATCCTACCCTTTTATGAAAATTTGGGCATGAGCCACTGTGCCCGGCCATCCTAGCTGGCGTTTTGCTGAGCATCTTTGCATGTCTTCGGGGTATGTACATAGGAGTGAGGTCAGAGAGCACCCGTTAGGCACATTTGTTAGTGTTGATAGATATTACCAATTCATTTCCCCAGGTGACCTGCCCCCCAGCTTGGTAGACAAGTTCCCGTTTCTCAACATCCTGACCAACGCTTGTCAGAAGAAACTTTTGAACTGGCTTTGCTTTTAGTTCTTCCGTTGGTGACCTGCCCACTTCCAGATCAGCAGATCAAATCCCCATGCTGTTGACAACACGCTGGGAGCCAGGCAGCCAGGTGGAGCTTCTAACTGATGTCAGATCTTCTGATATTTTAAAAGCTGAGATACAATTCACAGGCCATAAAATTAACCCTTGGCCAGGCGTGGTGGCACATGTCTGTAATCCCAGCTACTCGGGAGGCTGGGGCAGGAGAATCTCTTAAATCTGGGAGGCAGAGGTTGCAGTGAGCCGAGATTTTGCCACTGCACTCCAGCCTGGCAACAGAGACTCCATCTCAAAAAAAACAAAACAAAATAAAGCCAGGTGTGGTGGTGAGTGCCTGTAATCCTAGCCACTTGGGAGGCTGAGTCAGAAGAATCGCTTGAACCGGGGAGGTAGAGGTTGCAGTGAGCTGGGAGATTGTGCCACTGCACTCCAGCCTGGGCAACAGAGCGAGACTCCATCTCAAAAAAAGAAACTGGGGCCGGGCGCGGTGGCTCATGCCTATAATCCCAGCACTTTGGGAGGCTGAGGCGGGTGGATCACGAGGTCAAAAGATCGAGACCGTCCTGGTCAACAAGGTGAAACCCATCTCCACTAAAAATACAAAAATTAGCTGGGCATGGTGGTGTGCACCTGTAGTCCTAGCTACTCGGGAGGTTGAGGCAGGAGAATTGCTTGAACCCCGGAGGCAGAGGTTGTGGTGAGCCGCGATCATGCCATTGCACTCCGTCTGGGTAACAAGAGTGAAACTCCATCTCAAAAAAAAAAAAAAAAAGAAAAAAGAAAAGAAACTGAAGGGCCAGGCATGGTGGCTCATGCCCATAATCCCGGCATTTTGGGAGGCCAAGGCGGCAGGCAGATCACCTGCGGTCAGGAGTTCAAGACCAGCCTGACCAACATGGCAAAACCCCATCTCTACTAAAAATACAAAAATTAGCCAGGCATGGTGGTGCATGCCTGTAGTCCCAGCTACTTGGCAAGAGGCTGAGGCAGGAGAATTGCTTGAACCCAGGAGGCGGAGGTTGCGGTGAGCCGACATTGTGCCATTGCACTCCAGCCTGGGCAACAAAAGTGAAACTTCGTCTCAAAAAAAAAAAAAAAAAAGAGAGAAACGGAAATCTACTTTTTCACATGAAATCTCCTTCTCCCAGCTCCTTTTTTACATTTAAAAACTTCACACAGTAAAATCCACTCCTTTTAGTGAATAGTTCTACTAATTCTGACAAACCAGGGGCATGTGACCACCGCAGTCAGACTCTGAACTGTTCCTTCTGCCCTCCCCCGAGTCTCCCTCGACACTCCCCACTTCGGGGTCAATTCCTTCCCCTACCCTGGCAACCAAGGCTTTGTTTCTGGTTCCTACAGTTTCACGTGTGGGCTGGCAGAATAAATCTTCCTGTTTTTATTTTTTAATCTCTTTGAGACGAGGTCTCTCTCTGTTGTACAGGCTGGAAGGCAGTGGTGCTATCTCTGCTCATTGCTCACTGCAGCCGCCTCCTCCTAGATTCAACCAATTCTCCCACCTCAGCCTCCCGAGTAGCTGGGATTACGGGGTGCGTCCTCACACCTGGCTCATTTTTGTGTTTTTAGTAGAGACCGCGCCCGGGCCCCCACTCGTTTTTACATCTTTATGAGTAACTGCAATTTTCTGGAAGCCCTGTGTGTGAACCTCTCAAAGCTGGAGCCTTGGTGAGCCCGCCTGCCATCAGCACCACCACACCCAGGTCTTGCTCTGAACTTTAGACCAAACTCTGCTCAACAAAGACAAGGTTTGTCTTACTTCCCATCTCTTTCTTCTGTTATGACTGAAGCTGTGGTTCCGCTGCTTCCTCTCCAAGTCCCTTAGAAGCTTTGTGACTCACGCCTGTAATCCCAGCACTTTGGGAGGCCAAGTGCTTTTGGGAGACCAAGGCAGGTGGATCACTTGAGGTCGGGAGTTCAAGACCAGCCTAGCCAACATGGCGAAACCCTGTCTCTACTAAAGATACAGAAAAAAAGAGCCAGGCATGGTGGCGCTGCTGTAGTCCCAGCTACTCAAGAGGCTGAGGCAGGAGCTGAGCTCACGCCACTGTGCTCCAGCCTGCCAACAGAGCGAGACTCCAACTCAGAAAAAAAACATGGGAGCAGGACCTTGACTTCCCCACCCTGTAAAGGGTCTGTGAACAGAGTGGGATTTAGGTTCCTTTGGGAAAACACAGGTGCAAGATTAGAAACCCTTCAAGTTGTTATTGGGGGCGAAGGTGATCTGTGCGACATGTGAACAAGATTGGGGTTCACAGAAGGCTGAGAGAACGCTGGAAGGACTCGGGTGGTTGTGGTGTTTGGGAAAGAGGACGAGGATTTGGGATATTGAAGGAAAAGGCATGACATGGCACTCTGGGTATGGACAGGTGGGGTGGGAGCTTGCAGAGGTGGACAGGCGGGGGGGCCTCTGGGGGAGGGAGGGTATGAAGGATGGGGGAAGTCCAGGACCAAGTTTGGGGGGGTCTCAGAGTCAGGTGGCTCCTGGGTGAACCTGGCTTCTGTCACTCCCTCGAGCATGTGTGACTTTGCTCAAGTTGTGCCATCAGCCCCCATGGCCTGTGAAGTGGGTATGGGCATCCCTCCCACAGGGCTGTGGCAGGGACTCAAGGGGCCTGAAGATTGACAGGCCCAGGTGGCGAGGGCTCTTGAAATGTCTATAGCACCTTGGGCAGCTGCCAAAGACGTGGGGCTCAGGAATGGGGCATAAGCATTCTTAGGGACATTGAGAATGTTCTCGAAGTACCTGGGGGAGCAAACACCAGGTTTCGGGGCTCCCCAGTGTGCAAGAATGACACAAACCGCCATCCTGGCAAATCTTTTCCTGCAGCCAGATGCATGAGCTATGGCTCGGTCAGACATCAGTTAAGGGACACTTCCCGGCCCTTGACCACATCCCAGTCCTTTGAATCCCACCTGGGTATCAGCTAGGAAGACTGTTGGACCTGATGCAGTGGCTCACACCTGAAATGCCAGCACTTTGGGAGGCCGAGGCAGGTGGATCACTTGAGGTCAGGAGTTGAGAGCAGCCTGGCCAACATGGCACAACCCTGTCTCCGCTAAAAATACAAAAATTAGCCAGGTGTGGTGGCGGCAGGTGGCCCCCAGCTACTCGGGAGGCTGGGGCAGGAGAACTGCTTGAGCCTGGGAGTTGGAGGTTGCAGTGAGTCAAGCTCACGCCCCTGCACTCCAGCCTGGGCAACAGAGCAAGACTGTCTCAAAATAGAAGTGTCATAGCTATTTGGGGGTCTGCAGTGAGCTGTGATTGCACCGCTGCACTGCAGCCTCGGGGGGGTGGGGGGGTGGGGGGCGGGGGACTGCTTTCTCAGGCCGCTGTGTGTGCTGCCATCTTGCTTTGGTTGACACCTCGTGTGCTCACATAAAGACCAAGAAGGACAGAACCGAGGTGGCATCACTCAGCGAGGCAGGCACGCTCTTTATTGCTTTCATGTTTGCTGTCTCTGTGCTGTTTTTCACACTGTCCAGCTGCTGCTTTTGTGACTCGATGGTCATTAAAAACGAAGCCGTAAGGGCAGCCCTTACATTCCCAGTGAAGTCTGACGCCACCAGCTGGCGCCGGTTCCTGGTCTCCACTCTGCCCTGTCTCCCCCGCTCTCCCCTGCGCGTCCTCTGCTCCTTAAATCTGCAAAGTGCGTTGCTGCCTCTGGCCCTTTGCACTTGCGGTTTCCTCTTCCTTTCGCCTTCAAGCAGCCACAGGTGCAGGGCGGCGCTCCTGACCACCTTTCCCAGTCAGGGTGCTGTGCGCTTTCTCACAAAACTTCATTTCCTCTGTGGGTCGAATCACATGGCAGCCCGGAAGACACGTTCCTGGGCATTTCCTGTACTTCAAACTTGGCATAACTCCAGGAGCCCTAACAAAGGACTCTAGGGATTGACTGATTAATTGATTGATTGAGACAGTCTCTCTCATTAAGCAGGCTGGAGTGCAGATTCAAGAGATTCTCCTGCCTCAGCCTCCCGAGTAGCTGGGATTACAGACATGCACCACCACACCCAGCTAATTTTTGTATTTTTAGTAGAGACGGTTTCAGCATGCTAGCCAGGTTAGTGTCGAACTCCTGACCTCAAGTGATCTACCAGCCTCGGCCTCTCAAAGTGCTGGGATTATAGGCGAGAACCACCGCGCCCGGCTAGATTTTGCTCTTGACGTGAGACCACGTTCAAGGCCCGGCGCCGTGGCCCATGCCTGTAATCCAAGCACTTTGGAGGCTAAGGCGGGCGGATTACCTGAGGTCAGGAGTTCAAGACCAGCCTGACCAACATGGTGAAACCCCGTCTTTAAAAAAAAAAAAAAAAATTGGCCCGGCACGGTGGCTCACGCCTGTAATCCCAGCACTTTGGGAGGCCGAGGCGGGTGGATCACGAGGTCAAGAGATCGAGACCATCCTGGTCAACAGATCGAGACCATCCTGGTCAACATGGTGTAACCCTCTCTACTAAAAATACAAAAAATTAGCTGGGCATGGTGGCGCATACCTGTAATTCCAGCTACTCAGGAGGCTGAGGCAGGAGAATTGCTTGAACCCAGAAGGCGGAGGTTGCGGTGAGCCGAGATCGCGCCATTGCACTCCAGGCTGGGTAACAACAGCGAAACTCGATCTCAAAAAAATATTTTTTAAAAAAAGGGACCACGTTCAATATGCTTAGCCCCCTCTTCAAACTCCAGCGTGTGCTGTTTGGGGCGCAGCCTGCGCCGCCCGGCTTCCTCGCCTGCCCTGTCCCCGGGGCGCCCATGCCGCGAATGAAGGCGCCACGTTTCTGCGCACCCAAGCTGGTTTATTTGGTCTCCCGTGCGCACTCAGGCCTGCATCACCGGCCGGGATTTCTCCGCTTGCAGCTTCACTCCGGAGCCCGCGAAGCCTGTACCGCCCTGGGGGAGGTAGAAAGAAGTGGGAGGTGGAGGCCCGCCCAGGGGTGACTGGCGGGGCTCCAGGAAGTGGTGGGGATCCCTAAGTGGGTCAAGGTGAAGCGGGTTGCCGGCTAAGGAGTAGGAGTTGGGGCGGAGGCAAGGCGATCGCAGGTGGAGCCTAGGAAGGCTGGGGGCAGGGAGGGGCGGGGCCTAGGAGAGCAGGAGGAAGGGGGCGGGGCCTTGGAGAGCTCCGGGAAGGGGAGGGGTGGGGCCCTCACCCGCTGCAGCACGATGATGTCGCGGTCGGTGAGTTTGTCTCCACTCACAGGGTCCACCATGTCCTTCCGAATTAGCTTCTCCACGCATTCAAGGGTGACAACAGCCCCACTGCGGTGAGGGCGAGGGCGGGAGACTCCGATCAGAGGCCATCCCGGAGACACACTGGCCCCAGGGCCGGCCCTCCCCACAGGTTCCTGGGTGGTCCCTTCCCTCCCCTCCCCTCCCCTCCCAGGTGACTCACGAGGGCCGCAGCACAGCGCAGGGGGTGGCGTTGCTCAGGCTGTCGCGGGTCACAGCGCACACGTAGCGCTCGCTGCGTGTGATGAGCCCCACGCGGTCCACCGAGCTGTCGAGCGGCGTGAAGTGCACGGGCGTCAGGTCAGACATGCGCAGGGGCTTCCCCGACATGGGGCAGGTCACCGTACGGGACTGCAAGGGGCAGAGACAGGAGGGCTCAGCAGGCAGGGCTGTCGCAGGTGGAGGGTGCACGGTCTCCGTGAGGAAGGGGAGCACGCTGGAGGATCCTGGCGCTCTGGCACAGTGGGTGCGGGGGTTGCTGTGGGTGCTTACCGGCTTCTCCAGCTTGGTGGCCTTGGCTTCGGGCGTCAGCGACGGGATCCAGAAGCTGGGCAGCACTCTGTCCTTGTCCTTACTTGGGGGACCCACGCTGGGCCCCGGTTGGGCATCATCTGTGGGGGAAGGAAGGGACTAAGATGCTGCCCAGCCCCCAGATGCCCAGCCCGCGGCTCTCCGTCCCCCACCCCACCGCAAGCCCACTCCGAGTCACCTGGGCTGGTGGCCGAGAGAGCTTTGGCTGTGAAAGGATTGAGGGGCCGGCTCACGATGGCCGATTCCTTCTCCAGGAAGCCCCGCACGTGATCCTGAGAGGCCGACCGCTGAAGCTCCTTCTGCTCCTCCCGCCGGGCGCCCCGCTGCTTCTCATAGGCCTGCCGGGAGGGGAAAGTGGGCTGAGCATCTGCTCACTTCTTCCCATTTCACAGGTAGGTTAACTGAGGCCCACACAGGGGACCCTCTGACAGAGGCGGTCAGAGGTGATGACCGCCTGGGCGGAAACCTTACTGCGCTGTACATCCAGAATGCCAGGACTCAAAGCCCATCTCTGTCACTTCTGTGGCCTGAGTGAGCACTATGACCTCTCCAGGCCTCAGTTTCTTCATCTGTAAAACGGGCTAACAATGGCGACCTACGTCGGCTGCTCACTGAAGGGTTACACAAGATGAGTGTTTAAAGCACAGTGAGCCTCACCTGGCACTCAGCTGAGTGTTCAATGAATGCCACCTGCTGGCCAATTAGGTTAATTATACAGTGCATGCCCCAGACCCTGTGTGGGACAGGGGAAGCAACTCCAGATCTAAGGGAATGCTGAGGAGCCCACGCCTACGGCGGGGCAGTGAGTGCGGACGTGAGGAGTGAAGCCATGTCCCGTGCTCAGCCTTACCTGGCACACAGCAGGTGCCCAGGCAGTGCTGCAGTGCGAGACCACCCTGAGCCACGCAGCTGAGTGAGGAGGGGTGATGGTGACAGATGAGCAGGAGGGCCTCTGACAGGGCCACCAGGTTGTGGGGGGGACATAGGCACAGGGGGAGCCACTTGCTCAGGACAAAAAGCCCAACAAGGACATGACCTGTAGTGTCTCCTGAGCGTCAGCAATCCAGGCAGGGGAAGAGGGGGACAGACGCACTGTGCCTCAAACATGGGGGTAAACAGGGCCCCTCCTACCCATCAAATGGCTTTGCACATGGAAGGCCAGGCCAGACTCCCAGTAAACACCTTGAGAATGTTCACCTGCGTGCCCCTCCCAGGTGCCCTGCTGCGGCCTCTGATTTGGCCCTGTCAGCCCGTTTTACAGATGATGAAACAGGCCCAGAAAAATGAGGTGATGTCAATTCATTTAGCACATCTTTTGTTGTTGTTTCTTTGAGAGGGAGTTTCACTCTTGCCCAGGCTGGAGTGCAGTGGCATGATCTCGGCTCACAGCAACCTCCATCTCCTGGGCTCAAGTGATTCTCCTGCCTCAGCCTCCGGAGTAGCTGGGATTACAGGCACACGCCACCATGCCCAGCTAATTTTTATTTTTAGTAGAGACTGGGTTTCTCCCTGTTGGTCAGGCCAGTCTCCAACTCCTGACTTCAGGCGATTCACCCACTTCAGTCTCCCAAAGTGCTGGGGTTACAGGCGTGAGCCATGGCGCCGGCCCGTTTAGCTCACCTTTACTAAGAACCTAGGCCACAGGGTGGGAAGAATCGCAGTCTGGGGGGAAGTGGCATGTGTCAGACAGCCGCATGGAGAGTTACAGCTATGCCAAGTGCCAAGAGAAGAGGTGACTGGGGCAGATCCAAGGGACTGGCAGGAGCTCAGAGGAGGCAGCACCTGGGCCACACTCTGGCGAGGGGGATTTAGCGGCAGCCGGAGGGGAACGGTGCACTAGGAAGAGGTAACAGCATGGGCAAAGGCCCAGAGGGAAAAAGGAACTGAGAGTGGAAGGCCCCGAATGGTTCTGCCTGTGAGCTCAGATTCCAAAGCTCCTGCCTGCCTGGGCCTCCCTCTCCCCAACTTGGTCACCTTCATCTGCCGGGCGATCTCCTTCTTCTGATGCAGAATGTACTCCAGGATGGCTTCACGCTCATACAGGTAGCCATCTGGGCTGCAAAGAAAGGGTGCAATAAGACAGAAAGTGACCCTCCCGCCTCAGCCTCCCAACTTGCTGGGATTTTAGGCAGGAGCCACCATAATCAGCCCCGGGTCCAGTCATCTGCTGGAACTGAGAACTCGGCAAAGCTGTTATCCTCATGGTGAAAGGATGGAGATTAAAATCAGCAAAGGAAACAGGCACATGGGGCAGAATCTAGTAGAGACCAGATTTGAGCCTCCAGCTGTCCTCTCCCAATAGAGTTGCAGGGAAAGTGCTTCATTCTCCCAGCAACAATGTGAGCCAAGTATTGGTGCAGCCAGGAGTTTGAGACCAGCCTGGGCAACAAAATGAGAGCCCCTCGCTACAAAAAGCAAACAAAAAAAGCCAGGTGAGGTAGTGCACACCTGTGGTCCCGGCTACTCAGAGCGAGGGTGGGGGGGCGGGGGAGGGCCGCCGGGAGGGCTGAGGTGGGAGGATCACCTGAGCCTGTCAGATCAGTGAGCGAAGATATCACCATTGCACTCTAGCCTGGGCAACAAAGTGAGACTCTGTCTCAAAAAGAGGCCGAGGCAGGCGGATCATGAGGTCAGGCATTTGAGACTAGCCTGACCAACATGGTGAAACCCTGTCTCTCCTAAAAACACAAAAATAAGCCAAGTGTGTTGGTGGGCACCTGCAATCCCAGTTACCCTGGAGGCTGAGGCAGGAGAATCACTTCAACCTGGGAGGCGGAGGTTATAGTGAGCTGAGATCGCACCACTGCACTCCAGCCTGGGTGACATAGCAAGACTTCATCTCGAAAAAAAAAAGGAGGACCTGAAGGTGGCCTTGGGGGCACTGATCATTAGAGTCTTCTATAAAATATACCACTAATTGAGCACATATTTAGTGCCTGGACTCAGCACCTGTTAAGCCTTTGCACTGCTATCAGAGGAAGGTCATGGTAAGTGCTTCCGAAGACCTTCTGTGGTGGCCTCGGCAATGCTCCAAGAGCCCTGCACCCCATTGGGAACATGTCCCTTTCCATATGTTCCACACTACAAAACAGACAGTAGGATCATGCCCACGTCTCAGGTGAGAACACGGAGGCTCTGAGGATAAATTACTTCTCCAGGGTTCCCTGCCTGTGCTGGTGGCCAGACCCACACACACAGCCTCCTCCTGGTGGTTCCCTTGCCCTCCCCACCCAGACCCTCCCACCCCTGATCCCAGCTCACGTGACAACAGGATCGTGGCAGGGCTGCAGGGAGAGGCAGCAGCAGTCAAAGTCCTTCACAGCATCTCGGCTCAGTCGAATGTTCTGGGTCCCATAGCCTGAGGCCGCTGGGGACAGAGATGGGCAGAGTGACGGAGGGGCAGAGCAACAGGAGACCTGCCCCTCTCCAAAGCCCGGGAGAGAGGCACAGAGACAACGCAGTGGTGGGGGTGGGGGGCACAGAGAGAAACAGGCAGTCAGAAGCTGTTGTCTGTGCTGGGGCCACAGGCTGAACCCACAGGGAGGTGTCAACCCTGGAGCGTGAGTGAGAGGCAGACAGGCCTGGTCACTGAGTGGCAGCTCAGTGGAGGGGCTGACCGCTGACTCCCCTCCACTCTTCTGGCTGTTACCAAGCTCGAGTGCCTGTCCCTATTTGGGCCTCAGTTTCTTCCTCTGGAACATGGGGTAACAACAGGGCCCTCCCTGATGATCTGTTGGGAGGAGTGAGTTCATGCGCAGAAGGCAGGGAACACAGCGCCGGGCCACATGGGGGCGCGGGATCACCGGGCCATCCACGTATGTTGGGGGCAGGAGAGAGACAGGGACACAGAGGAAGCACCCCGCCCAGTCCCCACCTGTGTCCTTCTTCTTCTCGTGGTAGGTGTAGACAGCCCCCGCGGTACAGTTCTTGCCGTGCCGTGTCATCCTAGGGAGGAGGGGACAGTTGCAGGATTGTGGTGACCCGAGGCAGGCAGCACAGGGAAGACCTCCACAGCCCTCAGAGCTGATCTGCCTCCTCGATCAGATGGAGAAAGAGGCGGAGATGGGGTGAGGTGGAGGAGAGGGAGGGCATGTGGTCGACAGGCCTCCTCCAGGAAGTCCCCCTTGAAGACTCACCTAGACTCATTTAGATACTAAAATAGCACCTTTAACAACAAAACTCTTTGGAGGTAAGAGGGCGGGAGACCAGGATTCAAATTCTAGGCACTACTTCAGAATAGCTGGGGTGGTGGATGTGCCATTTAATGGAGAAGGGAAAAAAAAGACGCCAAGGGGGCCACTACTGATGAATCCACTCCACCTTCCCTTCCCCTCCCATAGCTGCAGGCTCTGATTGTGGCCAAGGAGTGGCCAAGCCCAGTGATTGGCTCAAGACTGGGCACTTAGCCCAGCTTGAATCATCCACTAGCGATTGGATATAGTGTCTTTGATTGCATCTCAGATCAGCCAATCAGAGAGCAGGTCAGAGTAGGGCTCTGTGTCTAGGGGAAGAGCTACTGCCACTCCCACTGCAGGTAAAGGAAGAAAAGCCCCGGAACCCTGGAGCTCAATTCAAAAAGTAAAACTTTTTTATTCTGTAAGTTTTCAAACACATACAAAACCAGAATAGTGTAAGGAAGCCCTGTGTACCTGTATCCTGGGGTCCAGCGGCTGTCAACATTCTGCCACCCTACTTTGATGCCTCTCTGGCCACCATTCCCCACACGAGTGCAACCCCGCCTTTTAAATGACTTTATTGACATAATTCAAATACTGTAAAATTCACACTATGAAAGTGGTGTTAGGCTGGGTGCGGTGGCTCACACCTGTAATCGGCACTTTGGGAGGCCGAGGCAGGTGGATCACTTGAGGTCAGGAGTTTGAGACCAGCCTGGCCAACATGGTAAAACTGGGCCTCTACTGAAAATACAAAAATTACCTGGGTGTGGTGGCACCTGCCTGTAATCCCAGCTACCAGGGAGGCTGAGGCACCGAGAATTGCTTGAGCCCAGGAGGCGGAGGTTGCAGTGAGCTGAGATCATGCCACTGTACTCCAGCCTGGGAGACAGGGCAAGCCTCTGCTCACCTAAAAAAAAATAAATACAAATAAAGTGGTTTCAATGTATTTAAAACTCTAATTCCAGAACATTTTCATCACCCCCATAAGAAAGCGACTCACTGGCAGTTCTCTCTCCAACCCCAGCCCCGGGCAACCACTCAGCTATTTTGTCTCTCTCTAGACTTGGCACTCGGAACATTTTATATAAGTTGAATCACACAATATTTGTCCTTTTAGATTGTTTTTTTTTTTTTTTTTTGCCAATCAGTTTGAGCTTATGAGGTTGCTCAGGTTAGCCTTGAACTGATGACCTCGCCTTCGCGAGCGCCATGACCTCCGGCGGGAGCCACTTTGGACCCCCTTTTTTTTTTTTTGAGACAAGGTCTTGCTCTGTTGCCCAGGCTGGAGTGCAGTGTGATCACAGGACACCACAGCCCTGACCTCTCAATCTGGAAGGGATCCTCTCACCTCAGCCTGGAGCGGCTGGGGTTACAGGTGCTCGCCAGGATGCCTGGTGACTGTCCTTTTATGTCTGGCGGCTTTAATTAAGCATGCTTTCAACTGTAATCTGCTTTGTGGAATGTGTCAGTACTTCATTCCTTCTTCTTTTTTTTTTTTTTTTAAAGAGACGGAGTCTTGCTTTATTATCCAGGCTGGAATGCAGTGGTGCGATCTCAGCTCACGGCAACCTCCACCTTCTGGGTTCAAGCCATTCTCCTGCCTCAGCCTCCCAGGTAGCTAATACTACAGGCATATGCCACCACGCCTGGCTAATTTTTTTGTATTTTTAGTAGAGATGAGGTTTCACCATGCTGGCTAGGCTGGTCAGTACTTCATTATGTCTTATCGCTACTATTCCACTGTGTAGATAAGCCACATTTTACTCATCCATTCATCAGCTGCATCTGGAATTTTTTTTTTTAAGACAGAGTCTCATTCTGTCACCCAGGCTGGAGTGCAGTGGCGTGATCTTGGCTCATTGCAACCTCCACCTCACAGGTTCAAGCATTCTCCTGCCTCGGCTTCCCGAGTAGCTGGGATTACACATGCGCACCACCATACCTGGCTAATTTTTGTATTTTTAGTAGGGACAGGGTTTCACTATGTTGGCCAGGTTGGTCTCAAACTCCTGACTTAGGTGATTCACCTACCTCAGCCTCCCAAAGGGCTAGGATTACAGGCGTGAGCCACCACACCCGGCCTGGGTTGTTTCTTTATTTATTTTTATTTATTTAATACTTTTTTTTCTTTTGGTGCCATGACTCGGATTCGAACCGAGGTTGTTGCAGTCACAATGCAGAGTACGAACCACTATATGATCCCAGTCTCTTTATTTTTACTTTTATGAAACAAGAGTATTGCTCTGTTGCCCCAAGCTGGAGTGTAGTGGCATGATTTTGCCTTCCTGCAGCATCTGCCTTCTGGGTTCAAATGATTCTCCTCCCTCAGCCTCCTGAATAGATGGGGGGTTTACAGACACCCACCGCCACTCCTGACTAATTTTTATATTTTTAGTAGAGATGGGGTTTCACCATGTCAGGACAGGCTGTTCTCGAACTCCTAACCTCAGGTCATCCACCTGCCTCAGCCTCCAAAATTGCTGGGATTACAGGTGTGAGCCACTGCACCCGGCCAAAACTGTTATCTTAATACTAAGACGTTATTTGCCTTTGTCATTCTCATTCTCCCACGAGTACGCCAGAGGCTCCGTGAGGTGAGATACTGTGGAGCTAAATTAGTAATTTGCGACAGCAATGATAGGAAGCTAATATGGTCACCTGGGAAACGCACGTTAAAACTTCACCGAGGGCAGGTCACGGCGGCTCACACCTGTAATCCCAGACTTTTGGAGGCCAAAGCAGGCAGATCACTTGATGTCAGGAGTTTGAGACCAGCCTGGCCAACATGGTAAAACCCTGTCTCTATCAAAACACAAAAAATTGGCCGGGCGCGGTGGCTCAAGACTGTACTACAGCTACTTGGCTGAGCCCAGGGAAGTCGAGGCTGCAATGAGCCATGATTGGGCCATTGCACTCCAGCCTGGGAGTCAGAGTGAGACCCTGTCTCAGAAAAAAAAAAAAAAGTCAGGCCTTTGGGAGGCGGAAGGTGGGGTGACTGGGAGGGGCACGGGTAGCCTCTGGGAGGCTGGGAATGTTTCTTGATCTGGGTACTGGTTACATGGGTGTGTTTGCTCTGAAACTGACTGGGTTAGACGTTATGCTTTCTGTACTTCTCCATACATGTTTTATAAAAACAAATTGGCTGGGCACTATGGTGCACGCCTGTAATCTCAGCACTTTGGGAGGCCAAAACTGGCAGATCACTTGAGCTCAGGAGCTCGAAACTAGTCTAGGCAACATAGTGAGACCCTGTCTCCACACACACACACGCACACACAAAATACATAAATGAGCTAGGTATAGTGGTGCACACCTGTAATCCCAGCTACTCAGAAGGCTGAGGCAAGAGAATGGCTTCAGCCTGGGAGGTCACGGCTGCAGTGAGCCAAAATGGAGCCACTGCCCTCCAGCCTAAGCAACAGAGTGAGAACTTGTCTCAAAAGAAAAAAGGAAGAAAGAAAGGAGAGAGAAAGAAAGGAAGGAGGGAGGGAGGAGGAAGAAGAGAGAGAGGGAAGGAGGGAAGAAGGGAGGGAGGGAGGGAAGGAAGGAAAATAAAGCAAAAAAGAAATGAAGGCCAGGCACGGGGGCTCATGCCTGTAATCCTAGCACTTTGGGAGGCCGAGGTGGGCAGATCACAAGATCAGGAGTTCGAGACCCGCCTGACCAACATGGTGAAACCCTGTCTCTACTAAAAATACAAAAATTGGCCGGGCGCGGTGGCTCAAGCCTGTAATCCTAGCACTTTGGGAGGCCGAGGCGGGTGGATCACGAGGTCAAGAGATCGAGACCATCCTGGTCAACATGGTGAAACGCTGTCTCTACTAAAAATACAAAAAATTAGCTGGGCATGGTGGCGCCTGCCTGTAATCCCAGCTACTCAGGAGGCTGAGGCAGGAGAATTGCCCGAACCCAGGAGGTGGAGGTTGCGGTGAGCCGAGATCACGCCATTGCACTCCAGCCTGGCTAACAAGAGCGAAACTCCGTCTCAAAAAAAAAAAAATACAAAAATTAGCCTGGTGTGATGAGCGCCTGCAATCCCAGCTACTCAGGAGGCAGAGGCAGGAGAACCGCTTGGACCTGGGAAGTGGAGGTTGCAGTGAGCTGAGATCACACCACTGCACTCCAGCCTGGCAACAGAGCGAGACTCCGTCTCAAAAAAAAAAAAAAAAAAAAAAGGAAAAAAGAATAATGGTGAGGAATCCCCAGTCCTTCTTAGCAACCAGTTCCCATCAGTCTGGCAGGTATGTCCTCGGTCTGTGTGTTGCTACAGAGTCACCCCTGCATGGACGCAAGCCTTGGACTTGATGCCTGTGACAGGTATGCATGCTAGACACTGGATACCAACCTGCTTTGTCATATGGACAAGGATGTCACCACAGTTCCCCGGGGGTTAGAGGAAGAAAGAAACAGAGAGAAAGAAAGGAGGGAGCGAGGTGGAAGGAGGGAGGGAGGGACAGAAGTAAGTCAAATCCTTGTCCATTATGACGACAAAGCAGCTTGGTATGCAATGTCTAGCATGTACACAAGGATGTTTTCAGAAAAATTATTTTTTTCTTCCTTTTAAGACAGGGTCTCACTCTGCCACTCAAGCTGAGTGCAGTGGTACAATCAGAGCTCACTGCAGCCTCAAACTCCTGGGCTCAAGTGATCTTCCCACCATAGCCTCCCAAGTAGCTGGAAATGCAGGCATGCACCACCATGCCCAGCTAATTTTTTACCCAGACAGGGTCCTTTTATGTTGTCCAGGTTGGTCTTGAACTCCCCGACTCAAGGGGTCCTGCTTTGGCCTCCCAAAGTGCTAGGATGACAGGTGTGAGCCGCTGCACCCAACCCTGCTTTTAAGATAAATTTTAAAAGTGGAATCACTGGATCGAAGGGTATGTGCAGGCCGGGCGCGGTGGCTCACGCCTGTAATCCCAGCACTTTGGGAGGCTGAGGCGGGTGGACCACGAGGTCAAGGGATCGAGACCATCCTGGTCAACATGGTGAAACCCTGTCTCTACTAAAAATACAAAAAATTAGCTGGGCATGGTGGCATGTGCCTGTAATCGCAGCTACGCAGGAGGCTGAGGGAGGAGAATTGCCTGAACCCAGGAGGTGGAGGTTGCGGTGAGCCGAGATCGCGCCATTGCACTCCAGCCTGGGTAACAAGAGCGAAACTCCGTCTCAAAAAAAAAAAAAGGGTATGTGCATTTAAAACATGGTTAGAGGCTGGGCTGAGCGCAGCGGTGTTTACACATAATCCATCACAACCAGTTGCAGATTTGTTACTTCTCCACTTCCACTGCTTCACTTGATCAGCCTTAAAAAATGTTTTTAAGTGATTTAGGTGGCTCACACCTGTGATCCTAGCACTTTGGGAGGCCGAAGTGGGTGGATCACCTGAGGTCAGGCGTTCAAGACCAGCCTGGCCAACATGGTGAAACCCCATCTTTAAAAAAAAAAAAAAAAAAAATTTTTTTGAGACGGAGTCTCGCTCTGTTGCCCAGGCTGGAGTGCAATGGCGCGATCTCAGCTCACTGCAACCCTCACCTCCCAGGTTCTAGCAATTCTCCTGCCTCCGCCTCCTGAGTAGCTGGGATTACAGGCACGCACCACTGTGCCCAGCTAATTTTTTGTATTTTTAGTAGGGACGGGGTTTCACCCTGTTGACCAGGATGGTCTCGATCTCTTGACCTCGTGATCCACCTGCCTCGGCCTCCCAAAGTGCTGGGATTACAGGCGTGGGCCACCGCGCTCGGCCCAGGAGAGGACAGTTTCACACGGGTGAGGTGGTTAAGACATACCAACATACTCCAAAAAACACAGCACGTGACCTTAACAAAAACTTGAAGTTTGTTGTGGCAATGGGTGTGGGGTGGAGTGAGCACCGTGTGAATTACTGTGATGTGGTGGAAGCAGGGTTAT